TATTGAAGCTGTTCCTCACCATTTTCATCTTTTGAAATGCATCTTCCTACTGCGTTTGCTGTTTCTGAATGACAGGGAAAGGCGTTGACCTCTTAACCACAAAAACCTCAAGTTTGATGGGAAACAAGTTCAGTTGGATTGGTTTTGATTTTTTTTTTTGTGTGTGTGTGGCTGTCATGGCTTGTGGGTGGGGAGACGGGCATCTGAGTTATCCAGCATGTACCCAAAAAGGTGCAAGTGCTTGGGGGGACTGACCACTGCTCTTTTTCCCCATGCTGTCTTTTCCTGCATTTCCCACGCTGCTCATCAACCTCACGGGCCTCTAGAGAGGTGGATGGAAGGAGGGGGTTGAAAACTGGCCGGAGGAACTCTTGACTACACATATCAAAGCCTGCTTGGAATAACAGATGACAGCTGCAAGGAGATTGGCCATTAACCGATAATTTCTGTACGATGTCCCCAAAAGGGATGTATGTGATATTCCTCTCCCCCCATGCTCCAGGGATCCTCTGGCGGTTGCTCTCGGACTGGCTCCAGGATTCCTCCCCTCCTAAATCCAGCTATTCCGGCATCCTCGGAAAGTCCCAACTCCAGTGACACCAGTGAGCCCGTCCCAGAGGTAAATTTGGCCTGTACCAACCTATAGGAAGGATGTAGACTTGTGGATATGGCCTCAGCCTGATGGAGTGGCACTGAGGCTCCTGCTGGTTACAGCTATATGTTTGCCTCTAATTGTATTTGTATTGATGTTAAAATAATAAAATATAAATATTACATAAAACAAAACAGTAAAGGATCCTTAATCCTTTCCCCTCCCCCTTGCTCCAAGGAGAAGTTGCTGGAATGGAGACCACCCAATAGCTGCCGTGGCCAATGGCTCCAGTGGTGGAGATGAAGTGTGTGGTCCTGTAGAGCTGGCCACCATGGCTGGTGATGCAGGCCTTTGTCTCTGCCCATCAGTGGAGTGAATGGGGCTGCTGTGAGGCGCTGTGAACCATGCTTGTGGTTGTCTCGAGGGCAGAAAAGAGCACTGGCTCTGGGTGATTGCAGACTGGGAACAGTGCTGTGGGGGTGGGCAGGGGAGACTTCTATAAGAAGATGGGCTGTTAAGAATAAGGGACTGCCGTTATGGTTAGAGCAGAAGCAGGGACTGTTTGAATGGCAGCTTGGCTGTAGATTGCCACCAGAGATCCTGACTGTGTGTGTGTGCCAAATTGATCCCTTGCTCTTCGCCCAGTATTGGAAGATGTGCTCATAAATGGATCTTAAAATATCTACCCCTATTAGCCACCCTTATTGAGCCCCTGCACTGCTATCCTTCTCGGCTTTATTCACAAGAGCTGTTTAAAAACTATTTTCCCCTCCTAGCAGAATGCTAGGACTTTTGTTCATAAATAGTAAATCTTACAATGGAGAGAGAAAGAGACCATTGATAACTCCCGTTCCTTCTAGTCTGTGCTTAGGCATTAGTTCACATGGGTAAAGTCTTGGGCGTCTTGGATGCATTGTGAAGACTGGCCAGTTAACGCTCATGTAGCATGTTGGTGTGAAGAGCTGTATAAGTCAGGGGTGTTTTTATTCCCCATTAGATTAACTTGATTTCAGCGGCCCCTCTTGGTTCTTACTGTGGCTCCAACATGCTGTTGCTCAGTGACCCTGGGCAGGAGGAGCAGGCTGATGACAAAGGGGGATTATTGTGGTATTGTTCCCTCTGGGCTTTGTCTAGGCATCCTTTATGCAGCTGTTTGGCTGAGATCCTGGCTGCTGGCTGTCGTCCCCCCCCCCCCCGCCCCCCCCCCCCCCGCCCCCCCCCCCCCCGCCCCCCCCCCCCGTCCCGCCGCAGCACAAAGCTGGTGTTGCTCATGTGAGGCAGGCAGAGATGAGGTCTGAATTTGCTCGTATGAAAAGAGAGGCACAGCTGGCCGCCTTGTACACTCCCCTCCTGTCCTGCAGGAGAGAAGCAAGTGAGAAAATCGTAGTCTCTGTAAAAGGTGCAGTTTTAAGGCAGTGGGTTCAAACTGGCTGTGCAAGCCTTGGCCCTCAGGTAAAGTACTTGCTAGGCTCTTCTCGTTCCTTTTTCCTGTGGCTGGTCTTTCCCCTGTAATTTTCTCCTTTTTTGTCAGGGTTTGGTCCTTTGCCTTGGAATCCAGTTGCATTTGGCCTGAGCAAGAGCACATTTCGTCTTCTGCTTCCCTGCACTTGGATGGCAAGGTGCATGGCTCACACATTCCAGGCCCGGGGCTCTGTTACGAGGGGATATTGGATGTCCAGCGCTGAATCAAGAGCTTGGAATTTAGGGCTGGATCTGTTGTCTTGTGACCAGGGAGGTTGGTGCTCAGTGCAGGAAAGCTGGGATATGTTGCACTTCCTTGCATCAAATAAATAGGGGAGGAAAGCAGACTAGCTTCCTTCTGTTCTCCTAGCTCCTTGCAGCCTTTAAGGTCCAAGCACTTTCAAGCCCCTGAACACTTCTCACCTGCGAGAGTCTTGTCCTCCAGAGTGTGCCTGCGTTCCCATCCGCTCCTCTCATTCTGCCCACGCTGCACTGATGACTGAAGTTTGCAGCTCTGGCTACGCAGGCAGCAGAGATGTCTGCAGAGCTGCCATCAGCCTCGTGCAACTTCTGGTAGACCCCCTGGGAGCTGGATTGGGTCCCAGGGCACTTGAAAGCCATGTTTCAGTGTCAGGGCAATTCTCACTAAGCCTGATTGGAAGAGACTGATCTGATTAGTTAATGTTCACGGAGTGCTCGGGGGATGAAAAGTGCCATGTAAGTGCTGAGCATTGTGGTGGTGATAGATGTGCCTTCTCAGCAGATTGCGGGGTGAATAAAAAGTCTGTCGCTCACTCCCAGTCTCATGACAGTTTGTCCTGAGGGGCCTGCCTCCTAGAGAGGAAAAGGAAGTGTTTCCCAGAGCAGGAGAGGAAGCTGGGTTCCTGCCTTGTTGCTAATACCTGCCAGCTGCCTCAAACCTAGGAATTTGTGAATCCTATAGCCCACTATGCTACATATATTGCATTTGGCATGCATCAGTCAGCTCTGGATACCTCCCCTTCCACCCGCATGGTGCTCACTGGGAAAATGCCTTGCCTTCTGAGTAAGATTCAGGAGGTAGCATTTTCAGAAGTGCCCTAGTAATTTAGGCACAAAGTCCCTTTTTCAGCAGCTCTGCAGATACATTGGATCCCCAGGGCTTGCTTAGTTTTCAAAACCTTAGGCACATATGTGACTTCAGGAATTTTGCAAGTCTAGCCCGGTCTTCTGTGTGTGAGCTCTGCAGAGGGTGTTTAGGGTGACTGAAAGTGAATCCACATGGCAAGCTGCTGAACGCATTTCCCAATTCACTTCTCATTGCCCTGCTTCAGTGTCCTGCTGCAGTCTGGCAACTGCATCAGCCAGGAATGCAGGGAACACAGGGGCTCATCCATGCTGGGTGTTCGCTTGCTTTTTTTCACTTGCTGTCCCCAGGGCGCCACCTCTGCTGCCTGAAATAGGCTTGTGACTTCCCAACGTGCTGTGCAGACAGTTCACTCTTTTCACAAGCAAGAGGGACACAGCTGCCTAGAACAGTCCGGAGCCAACACCCCTCTGTGTGCCACACTCCCCACCTCACTAGGAGGCTGCTGTTCTGATACAGCCCATCCTGTGGAGCAGGACCAGCCCCAGGGACCACCACACTGAGCCATAGTAGTAGCTCCGTATGAGGCCAGCCTGGGTGGCCATGCTAAGGTGAAATATCCTCACTGATGCTATAGGCGGGTCTCCTGGAAGCATGCGCCAGGTCTTGAGCCTTTCCATTTTGTTAGCTCAGGAATTTCCATTCCAAATTGGCTCATTCTGAA